TGTATAAAGAAAGAAAGAAATTTAAAATTTTACATACTGCATCTGTCTCTAACTAATAAATACTGCATTTTTTAAAAAGTTATATTATTACTCATTAGACAAATTATAATGGCCTATGCATCTGTTATAGACAATTTATGGCATGATGGTCCACGAACAGCTCTTTTCGTGGCTGTATAAACCAATACAAGAGCGGTATGGCCTACCACAGGCTCGATAAGAGAAATTATTAGAAATTAGAGAAATACGTACCTAATAATAGATATATAAGGATACATTTATTATGTTTTGTAATATTTATACTATTCTTAGAAGTACTAAAATATAAACACGTACCTAAGTGTCTGTCAATTTGTTTGATACTTCACAACTAAACGTCTGAATGTATTCTAATAAAATTTGACTTATAAAAATATTTTGCAAATTGGCTCTTCTCCTCAAAAATCCTCAAGAATAGGTGACCAAATATAGAGAAATAAGATACTAATGCATTCTTTTAGTAAAGTGAAAGTAACAAATGGACAGGTCGACATATTTTTGCATTGCAAAAAATATATTAATATTTATTGTTTCTCTAAAATCGAATAATCCGTAATGTAAGTCAAGTTTTACGAGTATAATCTTTAAAACGCGTGTAACTTAAATGTAATATTTTTTTTAATACCTACATTTTATTAGTTTTTTTACTATTATACTCCTATTATTATTTTTACGTATTACATAAACATTTCTCTAATAAGAAATGTGAGTATTGAAAGTGCTTTTATTTTCATAATTTTTAGTACACTTACTAGCATTAAAATTTAGCATAAAAGCATTGTTTTGTCAGTGTGATATCTTTACACAATTACAAATAAATTGTTAAAAGACGATAATTGATAAGAGAATAGAAACGGCATCGGCCTCTGCAATAGTATTCTAAATAAACCTTAAACTGAAGAGGCCATGAAAATTTTTAATATTGTCAAAGTTAGCCTTAGAGAAAGAGAGGTACCATAATTTAGATATTATGTATTATTGCACCGTTGGGGTGGCATATTCTCTGGAATATACTCCTAATATTTAAAAGACTAAAAAAATATATAATTATGACATAGCACAAAAGTGTATAAGCTAAATAGCGACATAACCTTCTCAACATTTCAACAACAGTAGAAAAGAAAAACATCTTCAGCTTTAATGATAACAGTCCCTCCTACAACATTACCAACAACTGTGTACACATGGGTATGCTTGAAATCTGAATAAATAAATACTTATGAACCTGTGCATGAGGCAGTTAAGTGCCCATTAGCCTTCCTAGAAATAGCTACTGCAATTATAATCGTTTGTCGTCTTGAAACGTTTCGGTTAAACGTAATAAGGTATTTAGAGTACAGTTACAATGTAACGTAACGTGTGAATGGAGTATATTTACAATACTGTAATACAGTTATTGTTAATACGAAAATAAAATCATACGCTATATATATTATTTTAAACTTCTTTCACTGATGTTTCCATTGTATATATTGTAAAAACCGGGTATTTCCCATGATTATATTATTTATAGGATCCCGATGTTTTGTTGCAGGCGTAGGAAGATTAAGAAAGTAGGTAGACAGATTTGTCTGCTAAAAATAAGTGTTAAGTATGTGTTTTACACATAAATTACACATTGTTTTACACGTAAATAAGATTTGTTGGTATACCAAAATTAAATGGTGTAAAATACTCGTAATATTGACTTAGTACCGATGTAATATAATATATCTGCATTAGCACCTAATCATTATTAGGAGAGATAATTATTGGTATTAATTTGTACCATAGGAAATACAAAAAAGTCACACATCTTCAAATATTTTTGGACATGAGTAACGTTGGCATGACAATAAATTTAGTATATAAATTGTCAAAAACGGCGATACTTGACAATATGTATCTCAACTATTACTGGAATAACGAACCGCATAAAACACATCTAATAATTGATTTTATTTGAAATGGTACACGATTTTAATTAGTAAACCAACGAGGCCTGGCGCGTGGCACACGCAATAATGTATAGTGATATGATAAGATAACGTGTACGTTTCGATATTCTGGTTTGGTTTCTGGCTGGTTTCTGTAATTAATTTTCCATGGACCGTAAGGTCTATCTACTTCCATAAAACGTGCTTTTTAAGGGAGAGGAGATTGTTTCTAGTAGGGACTTGTGACCCCAATACTAGTAATAATCCATTTAAGTTGATCATTCTCCCTAGTAAACGTCTTGGCTAACTCTCAGTAAACTAATTGTGATGATGGGCGTACAGAAATAATTTTGTGTTCATTCTATAATCCTTCACTGATCTCATCTTATTGTAGAGTCGTTAGCGCAGGAGCAGGGTGCATCTTCCATGAAAAATAAACTTCTTTAGTAAGGTGTTTCGGTTTGCAGGATGAAATAATACAATGAAAATATGGGATATTATTACATGATACCTTATTCCGCAGGAATGGCAATGCACGAAGGGTACATGTACAAGGGTACGTGTATCATATGAGAGAGAGTATGGTGGTGTTCGAAACGGTTGCCGTGTTTCAATTGGTGGGTAATCAATTTATTTGCCACATAAGAATACATAATAGGTCTAAAACTTTTTTCTGGAGAGAAAGGGGATTGCTAATAATGTAAAATGATGACTATGTCAGTTGAGCTCCACGCGGTTTCTCCTGGATATCATCACGATAAATTCCTGGTGAATTTCCTACGATGGGCTAACTGATCTGACTTCAAGCTCATTTTACCATCCTCTACTGGAGCTCCGCCAGCCGCCGTTAGCGCAGGAAAGTGGACCATTTCTTTATCATGCATAGAAAATGGTATTTCTTATACAGAGACCAAAGCTCTAATTAAATAATATTCCGTACTGAAGATGCAATTTTCATTTCAGATACAAACTCCGTTGCGTTCATTCTAAATTTGTCTTGGAAATTGACTTTAAAAGGAATGCTTAATTTTTACCTTTTTAAATTTATTTTAAACTTCTAACTATTGTTGTAAATTTATTTCTATACAGGACTTAAACGCCCCATAAAGCCATTTAGCTTGGCATTTTCATTATACGGTCTAGATTTATTTACTCGGAGGTCATCTAAGAGAATGAGAATGGGTGTACGCTATGCCAAGAACATATTTCTAGAATTACAATTTCTATAAGGATGCCAAAATATTACGCGAATATATTGTGAATTTACGAATATCGACTGGATTTTGTATTTATACTTGACTATTTGAAAAAGGACTTGCATACATTTTTATTTCGCTGTATGTTCTCTAATAACGAAAAATATCTGCTACTTATTGCTGTGCCCGCAGTTTCACCTGCATGAAAATTGTAGGTAAGTTATTCTGATGAATAAGATATATTACTGTGAAGTTTCATCAAAAATCGTTGAGTAGTTTTTGCGTTAAAGAGCAATGAACATTCCTTCATCATATCTATCCATCCGTACACAAACTTTCGCGTTTGTAACATACTAGCTTTTACCAGCGGCTTCACTCGCATTGAATCCATTTTTTTTATGAAATAATAAGTCACATGTTCATTGTAATACCTCCAAGAATATGTGTACAAAATTTCATGATGATCGGTTCAATAATTTTTGCGTAAATGTGTAACAAACATCCTTACTTTCACATTTATAAAATATTAGTAAGGATAAGTGAGATTATCATAGTTCATTTTTAATTATTAAGTGTTTTTTTGCCTATAATTTCATAAATTACTTAATAACTTTTGATTATTTTCTTTATGTATATCATTTTCATGTAAACATTAATAAAATATTTATACATCAGTGGACATATCATCGCCAGCGCCATCTTGTGCCAAATTTGCAAAGTTTTTGCAATGTTAACTAAACCAGTAATAGATACATATTTGCACGTTGCAGGTTCCCGCTCATCGTACGAGTTTCGTCTCCAAATCTTTCATGCTTCAGGCTATTAAACACTGGAATGCTTTACTCCTTGACATAAAATATAGTACTACCAAATTTACCTTTAAATCCAAAGTACGTAAACATCTTTCCAATTCATCCATCAATCCATCCTTTCCAAACAATCCAATAAAAGAAAACATCTTTCCAAGGACTTTGGTAATTAATAATATGACACTAATTTATGGAAAATGATCCCTTGCTTTTACCGGACTATTCATTGTTGGTGTTTTTTTAGTATGTATGTATTTGTGTATAAATTTATATATTTATGTTTTTATATATTAAGCATTATATATAAGTATGTATGTGGTTGGCTACATATATTTACTTTATTTATTCCTACTTACTTGTATTTATTTTACTGTTATTTTCTTAATAATGCACCGCCCACTAATCTCTGTTTACCTCATGGTCGACTGGGAGAAAATGCCTTATGGTTTTAAGTCCGCCATTTGCACCTTTATTTTTTTTTGTATTTGTGCATTAAAGTTTTAATAAATAAATATATAGGTACGACTGTATGTTTTGTAGTAAATATATAAATAATTCATATGATAAAACACTTAGACCACTACAAACACTCATATCCGCTACCATCTAAAAAAGGCAGTGTGAATAATCTTATCCACGGATCCCCAAGGGTGTACTTTGATTAGGGTAGTTAAATAAATTAAACTACGGAAACCTTTCCACAGTGGTTGTTATATTATATAATTAATAATTATTAAAAGACTATATATGTTCCAAAAAAAATCTAAATAGCGTGATGTAGAAAAAAGTATAAAAACTAAACAACGCCATCTAGTGGCACACTTGGGAACTAAAACAAACATGTAATCTCGTTCGATTGTACATTCTGCCCACCAAGGACAAATTGCATCTTGTCCTTTACAATTATCAACCTGCCCACCGTGATGTATTTTAATCAAATAAATATACTGTATCTACTTATTATTAACAAAAATAAAATATTACATTGAAAGGAGTACCTTATTCAAAGAAAATAATATAAACTAAACAAAAACCTGCCATTATTTGGCTATTGGTAAAATACACAATTTTGAAGTGGGCCTTTTAAGACATCCATTTTTAGTTTTTAATGTTACTACTCTAATTATATTATCTTGTCCTGGATGAATAGCAACTATCCTGCCATAAAGCCAACGAGATGGAGGTAAACCCTCTTCCTTTATAACTACTACATCCCCTAAATTTGGTTGCGGAGTTTGTGATGCCCATCTATAACGATGGAAAAATTTAATTAGGTATTCTTTAGACCACTGATGCCAAAAATCTTGCACTATCCTCTGTGTATATTGCCACCGCCTTAAAGAGCTCACATTGGATGACGTAAAATCATAATCAGGGGCTGTTCTCAACGGTTCTCCTATCAAGAAATGTCCTGGCGTCAATACATTTAAGCTATCAGGATCATCGTTGAGTACTGATTGAGGCCTTGAGTTTAAACAAGCCTCGATTTGAATGAGTACTGTAGCCATTTCTTCGTACGTTAACGTTGAATTGCCTATTATTCGTTTCAGGTGGTATTTCACTGATCGGATACCTCTTTCCCAAAGTCCTCCAAAATTAGGGGCGTGCGGAGGAATGAAACGCCATGTGCAACCAAGTATTGCCAGTGATTCTGCTACTTCGTCCATTACAGCTTTATTTTCTGCATGGAACAGTTTTTTAAGTTCAACGGCTGCACCAACGAAATTCGTGCCATTGTCACTCCAGAGTTCTGTGCAGGAACCACGCCTAGCCACAAATCGTTTATAAGCACTTAGAAATCCTTCCGATGTAAGGTCGCTCACAACCTCTATATGCACCGCACGAGTGACCATACAAACGAATAGGCATATATATCCCTTATAGGATCTGAAACCTCTGCCTTTAGTTGTTCTGATCTGAATGGGACCAGCATAATCTACTCCACTGTGCTTGAATGGACGTGTAGGAGTAACTCTACTTGATGGCAACTGTCCCATCAATTGACTTTGAGTTGTACCTGCGTTTTTTATGCATGTTACACATTTACGGCAGTATGATTTTACTAGCTGTTTCCCGCCCAATATCCAAAATTTTGACTGAAGATAGCTTAGAGTCAATTGCAGTCCACCATGTAAAGTTTGCATGTGTGCATCCGCTATCAAAAGTGTGGTTAACGAAGACTGTTTAGGGATCAATAGAGGGTGTTTCTGATTATAGGATAATTGGGAATGTTCTAATCTTCCACCTACTCTCAACAAGCCCTTTTGGTCTATGAACGGGTTCAATGGTTTCAGTGGACCCTTCAGTCTATTTGTCTTCATTGTACTATTAGTGTTACTAAAAACCTCTAGAAAATGTTCTCTCTGACACTGCCTTACGCACGTTTCCAGAGCATCACTCAATTCTTTCGCAGAGAGGTACTTACTACGGGACGTATCATTCCGTCCTTTTCTGATATTCAGAAAACGTCTGCAGTATGCAATTATCCTTACCAATCTGTTAAGCGAAGAATATTTATCCCATATAAAACAAGTTGTAACTGTAATATGAACTTTGGCTGTTTCTAGTTCTGTTTCGATATCTTTTGGTTTTACGTACAGTATTTCCTTATCATGCAAGAATCGTGGACCTTCAAACCACATTACATTATTTTTCAGTTCTGATGGATACAACCCTCTGGACGCATGGTCAGCGGGATTGCATTTAGTACCAACATGCGACCAATAATGACTATCTAAATTGGTCAGAATTTCAGACACACGATTTGCAACAAATACCTTCCAACGATTTGGATGACTATTAATCCATGCGAGCACTACTGTAGAGTCAGTCCACGCATGCAGGTAAGTCTTTTGGATGTTCAATACCTTTGCAGTTTCAATTAAAAGTTTAGTCAGTAATACTGCTCCACACAATTCCAATCTGGGAACCGACACTTGTTTGACCGGCGCCACTTTTGTTTTTGCAGAGATCAATGTGACTCGAACATTTCCCTCCAAATCAACTACGCGAGCATACACAACCGCCCCATAAGCCGATTGTGATGCGTCACAAAACCCATGCAACTCAACTTTAACATCACTTGCCTTGGTACCTATCCATCTCGGTATTTCAATTTCAGTTAAAATAGTTAGTTCATTTCGATATTTAATCCATTCTTGAAGTATTTTTTCAGGTACTATTTCATCCCAATCAATTCCTGTTAACCATAGTTTCTGTATAATAATTTTGAAAAGAATTGTGCATGGCGCTACCCATCCCAGAGGATCATAAAAACGTGATATATCAGAAATAATTTTTCTTTTAGTAATTGGTTCTTTCAGGTCTGGCAGCTTTACAGTATAGTGGAAGGCATCGTGTCTACGATTCCAGGTAAGTCCTACAATTTTAATAATATCATCTGTCTTTATTTTTAATTCTTCTTTCAGATCATCTGTCTTTCTAGATTCCTTCATTTCTATTAACAACTTATTATCATTCGTTGTCCATTTTTGTAACTCAAATCCTCCTTTTATTAGTAAATCATTCATTTCTTTATATATTTTTATACCTTCAGCTTTATCTTGACAGCCCGTTAATAGATCGTCCATGTAAAAGTCAGTCCTTACCCTTCCAGCAGCTAATGGGTATCTATTTTCTTCATCCTCAGCTATTTGTTGCAGAGTTTTTATTGCCAGATAGGGTGCAGATGCTGTCCCAAAAGTAACACGAAGTAATCTATAATGTTTAATTTGATCTTCAATTTGCCATAATATACGCTGAAAATTAATATCTTGTTTATTAACACGAATTTGACGGTACATTTTGACTACATCAGCAGCTAAACAAATAGGCCAAGTTCTCCACCGTATCATAATATGTCTTAATTCAGACTGTAAAGCAGGTCCTACTAACATATAATCGTTCAGTGAACGTCCATTTGTTCCCTTACAGGAGGCGTCGAAGACCACCCGTACTTTCGTTGTATCTTTATCATTTTTTACTACAGCATGATGAGGTAAGTAAATAGCATCAACACTCTCAATTTCATTTACAGGTACCTCCTCCATGTGACCAAGAGATAAGTATTCATTTATTACTTCTTCATAACTTTTCTTTAAATCTTCATTTTTATTTAATCTTATCATTAATAATTTTAATCTTTTTTCAGATATCTGCAGGGATCTACTCACCAACGGACTCTCCTTGAATGGAAGACGAACAACATATTTACCATCAATATCTCGATAAGTAGTATCAGTGTAATATTTTTCACACGTTTTTTCTTCATCGGTAAGTAATTTTTCCCTTGTCAATTCTGTATCTGATTCCAATTCCCAGAATTTCTTTAATATTTCATTTTCTTCTATTCTACAGTGCATAACCTTTATTTCAGGATGCGGGTTGGCAGACACTTGAACTACTCCAGATAATATCCAGCCTAATCTAGTAGATTGTGCTACCAATGTCTCCGATGGACTCCTTTTTATTCCATCTTGTAATATACGACAATATACCTCCGCTCCCAATAATAAATCTATGCGATTGGGAGTATTATAACTTGGGTCCGCAAGAGTAACATTCTTGAGATCCTCCCATTCTAATGATTCCACTCTTTTTGTTGGTAGAATACTGGTAATACATTTCAAAACATATGCCTTTATAATAATAGTAAAATTAGTGTCAACTAGAGACTTCAGTTCTATGTTCACCATAGCCTTGGAGATGATATCCTTATCTCCACCCAATCCAGATATTTGCCCTCTGATCGGGATCTTTTTTAAACCCAAATATTGAACTATAGACTCCGTGACAAATGAAGATTGTGATCCTTGATCTATCAAAGCTCGTATAGTGTAACCCAGACCATTTCTCGACTTGGCTTCGACTAGCGCCGTAGCTAGTAAAACCTGATTACTAATTCGACCTGTCGAGAAACAACTTATAGACTGAGTTGGTTTATCTACTTCCACACCTGAGCTAGTAGACGGGACAACACACTCATTGGACGATGACCTTTCATCACTATTAACAACATCACTGTTACCCGTGGGGTGTAAAAGAGAGTGGTGTTTTCTTTTGCACACACGACATTTTATTGGAATAAAGCATGCTTTGGCAGAGTGGTTGCTACCCAAGCAATTAAAACAAAGATTATTTGTTTGTACAAATTGACGGCGATTATTAACATTTTCTTTAGCAAACTTTTTACAATAACAGAGTTTGTGACCTTCCATACAAAACTGACATTTAGCATTGGTGACATGAAATGATTTAGGCTTACTAATTTGAAACCCTTTGTTACTATTCTGAGACTTATTTATTACATTAGGTTTATTATCTAAAAATTCAATAGCACGATAGCGACTAGTCAAAAACTCTTTAAATTGTTCGTAAGACGGTAACTCATCAGACGACTTACTATTATTTGTAAAATTAAATTCCCATTGTCGCCTAGTTTCATAATCTAATTTTAAAGTTAAAATATGTATAACTAAAATATCCCATCCCTTGACATCAACACCAATATTACATAAAGTCGCCAAACAATCATTAGTTGTATCTATCAATTCCTTGATACCCGTAGCGGATTCACATGTTAAATTTCTCTGACTTAAAAACCTTTTCAATATATGATGACAGATGTATTTTTTATTATTATATCGTTCCTCTAATAAAGACCAACACCTTTCATAATTACTGCCCATAATAGGTATATGCTTTAAAACTTGTTCGGCTTCGCCTGTTAAATAGCCCTTCAAATAATGTAGTTTTTCGACATCATCCAAAGTTTGATTTTGGTGAATTAAGGATTTAAATAAATCGTGGAAGGCACTCCACTCCGAATATTGGCCTGAAAAGCCTTTTATATTTATTTTCGGCAATTTTACATGCGTAGAACCACTAGTAGAACCACGCGACTGTTCCGTATTAATATTTGACTGAGCGCTATTAAAAGTTGACAAAATTCTTTTTAAATCACCTTTAAAATTCAGATACATTTGTTCAGTTTCATCATAATAATCATTCGCTACATAACTAGAAGATCTCAATAATTTTGGCTCTACAGTGCGCATTATATCCTTATGACCATTTAAAAAATCAAACCAATACTGATCTAAACTTTCCAACCTTCCTTCTACATACTCCTTTGTTAGTCTTTCTTTCGGACATTTTTTAAAATTAACTTGTGCTTTTTTAATACGCGAATTAAGATCCTCTTGAAACATAACTAAAGATTCCATGTTTACACAGTAATAATATTATAAACATATAAAAAAACAAATTTTTAATAGAATATTTTAAACAAAGTTCAATCTTTAGTAAACACACAAAATTTATTTCCTTACAATTTAAAAGTAAAATTAATATTTATTGTAGTGACTAAAACTGCTATGTATAAAAAATTTTAAAATTATTCTAAGTGTTTAGAAAAGATTGCACCTCAAATAAAAATCGGGCATGGATTCCCCGTCTCTTCAATATTTGTAAAACTATTCTAAGTCCTAAAATTACTATTAACTACATACAATTAATTTTAAAATTTCTAAGTTATTATTTTCCTATATATAAAGTTCAATATTGCTTGTAATTTTCACTCTTCTATGAATAGTTTAATATCTTCTAAATTTTATTGAAATTCTAAGTTAAAATCTTCTAGTATTTAAGACTCAAAATCACTTGGCAAAACGAAATAACTATAAAATGTACTCACAGTTGTTTTCCCACTATTTCAACACAACACAAATTGATGTACTTGCCGCCACTGCTCGCCTTACACAATGAGACACAGTGTTGCCTCACTTCTCGCCTTCAGCTCTGCTTTACTCTTCTCCAGTCCTGTTGTCCTGACAGCGCCCACACGCCGTCTGAAGCTCCGCTCTGCTGCTTCGCTTCTGCTTCGTAACTACGTTTGCAACAGCAATCCACTGTCCGTAGTTCTCATGTGCCAAAAAATGCACCACCACTAGGATGCCTGCCGAATCCGGCACTCGAAGGACCACAATGAATAATCTTATCCACGGATCCCCAAGGGTGTACTTTGATTAGGGTAGTTAAATAAATTAAACTACGGAAACCTTTCCACAGTGGTTGTTATATTATATAATTAATAATTATTAAAAGACTATATATGTTCCAAAAAAAATCTAAATAGCGTGATGTAGAAAAAAGTATAAAAACTAAACAACGCCATCTAGTGGCACACTTGGGAACTAAAACAAACATGTAATCTCGTTCGATTGTACACAGTGTCTTAAATTGTTACACAACAGAATTCTTCAATGGTGCAATTTAGCACTTAATTTTAAATAAAAATAAATATGAACCGAATGAGAAAATTCTCTCTGTTTTGCGCCAAACCCTGTTGTCTTCCCAACTTATTATTCGTTTCAAACAGAGGGTGACTGGAACACACCACTTAGACACCAAACAAGGGTGTATTAAGTGTGAGTTAAAATTTAAATTGATTCTACCCTCCCTTTGGAGAAAATTCAAATAGTGCAGTGTGATCTCGAGCGAGTAACATTCTGTTTGTGGATTCTTTTTCTGTAGATTGAATGCCTCAGGCCGTTTAGTCACAAAAAGATCGGTGAATTGGACATAGTGTTAGATGTATATACACATATGTATATATAGTATGATGTGCGTATGTGTCGTGTGATTACACGCTTCATTTATATGGGTGCAGTTTGTTATTCGGAGTCTTCTTTTTTTAGTGTTTTTTTTTTATTTTGTACGTTTTGTACACAATTTTAGTAAAATGCCTATAGTGTTTAAGATTTAAATAAAAAATAACAAACTTATTAAAACCTTATTTAAATGATTTACTACTAGTTACTCGCCCCGGCTTCGCCCGGGTGTGCATATGTTATTATACATATAAACCTTCCTCTAGAATCACTCTATTTATTTAAAAAAAACCGCTTCAAAATCCCTTGCGTAGTTTTCAAGATTTAAGCATACATAGGGACAGACAGCGACAGCGACTGTATTTTATACTTTGTAATGATTCTGTTTTTTTTATTCAGATTTTTTTCTAGATTTAATAATTAATAACCAACAGCATAATACCATACTTAGTCGTGCTCATGAATACACATGTATCTATGGAGCGGGATGTGTGAATATCGTTGGGTATGTTAAAACGCCGTGCAAACGAGGATTTTGTTGATTATTTACATTTAAAATTGTATGAAATGTAACGTAATGTAATGTTACCTACATACACATACATTTTCGGAATTTCATCCTAATTAGTTTTTTGTTATAAAATTGGAATAGACCAAAGTAAGTGATAACCGTCACGGTTATCTCACACTTCAACCTAAATAATAATAAGTTACAATTACGACTGATACTTCAGATGGACATTCTCAATAGTCAACTTTGTTGTGATTGCAACACTTATCATGTTCACATCTCGCTAGATATCGTATCTCGTATCTAGAGAGATGTGAACATCCGGCCTCGGTACCCTAGCGGTTTAGCAAACCGTCTTGCTTCCGATGGTGGCGGGTTTGATTCCTCGCACCGTACAAATACCTGTATTCATGCGTATGATTGTAAAAAAATATACATTTATTTATTATAGTACCCAAAATACAAGCTTTAGTTAGCTTAACTTGGATATAGATGGCGCTGTGTGAATTGTCTCGAGACTATTATTATATATTTGAATCTAACGTGACCCTTCCATCGTCTCTCAGGTAATTGGTATTATTGGGTCAAAAATGAGTCAAAAATATGAATTAACATATAGATTTTTGGTGATGGCAGATTCGAACTCATGACCTGTGAACCACTGAGCCACTAGGCAATCAATCCGCTACTAATTAGTGATTCTAGTAATTTAAAAAGAAATTCAAATTCTTGTTGCGGGTCGTTTACGATCGTACAGAACTCGCTACAGGCGGATGAGCTGTAATATCATGCAAATTTCCCAGGGTTTAAGTATGAAATTCGTTTTATTTTTTCCTTTCATTTTCTTCAATTTTTGGCTCGCTTCGTAAAAAAAGCTTTTACGGCAGTGTCCTTTACAAAGTTAACAAAAGGCGCGACTATTTTCATAAGCAGCATACTTAATTGACTATGACTTACTACTTAGTTTTCATTTGACGCTATTCAGTATTAGTAAGTATTAAATAGTTTTTTTAGTATTATTGGAATGGAAAACAAGTAGGATGTCTACTACTACCTACTACTAAGTTAATAAAATATTGAATGCCAAACACTCTTGACCTTTCTGCTCACCGACTGTATGTAGAAATGAGGTTATAACTTAGTGTAAAACATCGACAAGTGTTAAGGATATTCCCATACCTAACTATGTATAAGGAAACATATTTAATATTAATCTATTTAAGACAAACATGTCGTCACTTAGAAATTGATTATGTCTTTTTAAAACCCCTCATACCATACAACTAGCGAAAGTTAATAATATAGTGAAAACACTTGACCTTTCTACCTACAGTATTACTGTATAAGTAGAAATGGTGCTATAACTTAGTGAAAAACATCGATAAGTGTCAGCGATATTTCCATACCTAACTATGTATAACTTCATATAGGGCGTGTTGCCCTTTTCGCAAGATGTAGGGATGATTTTGAAACATCTGCCCAAATCAATCTTAAATATTGAATTTGCGTCGTAATCTGATGGAAACTTTCAAGGGAAACGAGTTTCTATTACGCTTTAAAGCAATTTGTTTTGAGTTTTCACCTTCTTTCAATTTCTAGGTGGACGTTCTCATGAGGGGAAATTTTTAATTTTGATGGCAGTCTTGGTGTTTGTAATACATTAAAATTAAAATTAATTTGTCTATCTTCATGCCAAGTCTCTTACAGGACAGATAGACAATTACCAAAGAGCAGCACTGTGTGTGTCTTTACCTTTTTATGTTATTAATTTCATTGTCAGATAATTAGTTTAGATACTATTTAAGTTAATACTTTAAATACAAGAGTTAGTGTTTTAAATATTTAATATTTTATAGATTAGAAAAATATCCTTATGCCTATCAATGCACTACATAATGCCGCAGATAAAATAATATTGCTAAGACTAATATTTAGCACTTAATTTCTATTATCATTAGATAAACAAGTTTTATTTGTGTGACTCATGAGGTATAGTTTAAGAGAGGTGTCGAATTACTTAGTACATTCCTTACAGAGTAGAGAGAGAGAGAGTAGTACTTACTTAATAATATATTTTTGTTGTTATTTTACCATTGATATTTTAAAATATCAAAGAGAATCGTGGCATCCCAAACAATTGGTAACTATATCATACAGTTTTTCAATTGCTGTTAGAGTTGTACAACTTACTAGAAACATAAAAATATTTACATTTTGGTTTTATATTACAAAATACATATAGATGAAATTTATTTCAATAAGTATGCATAAAAACAAATGACTTTTACTTAAAAGGATTTTTTCCAATCGGCCATTAAATACCAGATAAAAAGCTGCAGAGTGGCGGAAATTAAAACGAAAATGGAAGTGAGTACTTAGTGATTTATTATACAGAATTGTGACTTATATTTAATGGTTTTAGAATATAGATTTGATTCCTTGTGTATAATGGATAAATAAAAAAAAATATGTTTCGGGATTTCTACAATTTATCGCCATGAAATAATTTAAACAAGTATGTATTTTTAAAAAAATACATACTTACCAGCCAAAATCATACGGTAAACAGAAAGAAGGGTTGCTATCTGTTTCACCGTAGTATGGTAAAAAAAGAGATCCCTACAACAATTGCATGCATATGAAGCTGTGATCCTTCATAAATATTTTATGTTAGTAAAGTAAAGTAAATTACTTCACAGTTTTAAAGAAATAATCTAGAATGACCTAAATGTTTTTTCCAAATAACTTTAGCTAATTTTATCAGCTGTAAATTGTTGCTTTTATAAAGATGTTGGTATAATAAAATGTATTTTAAGTTTATATTGGTAATCATTGTTAAAGGTTACATATCTTTTAAGGCTGTAGTTGCGCTTTAACCTGAAAAGAGCTGTAACCTTTAATTGTACACTTCTTGTTTTAAGCTGTTTAACTATAAAATATAAGAATGTTAAATTATTAAA